TTGATTTTCAGTAATCTTTCCTTGTTGAATCAATAAATCAAATCAACAGCTGACAGTTCTTCTCAGTAAACACACCTGTTGTTCAGATGTTGTGTCACTGTGATTAAAGCCACGCCTCTTCTCTTCTTGGCTCCACCTGTGTGCTACTGGTCAGCTAACATTAGCATCCATCTGTGAGGCTCGTCTCTGACAGGTGAAGGAATCAATAAACATCTTTTCTTCTCTGACAGCTGTTTTTAAAAGTCTGCCAGCTTCAATATTGTTTCCAGTTCTTTTTCAAACTTGTTCCAACAAAAAAATTCATTTTATTTTGAGCACCACTCCAACTTCTGCTGGATCTGAGTCAAAGTTTTGCCAATGTCCAAGTCCCACCTCCATCTAATTTCTGATTGGCTAGCAGGCCTGTTTAGTGTGTTTAAAGTGAAAGCTAGTCCTCTTATAGATCCAGAGAAATGTCTGTTAAATATTTGGCCAGGCAGGTCTGAGTTTTATTCCCCTCTGGAGGTCAGCTGGAAATCCAGCATGGTGCTGGAATACTATCAGCCCTTTGTTATTGTTTTTGCTCTGAACCCATAGCATTAAACATCAGCAATTAAATTCAATTCAGTTTATTTATATAGCACCAAGTCACATTAAACGTCGGCTCAGGGCACTGTAGATTGTGTTGAATCNGAATGAGATAAGTTCTTAAATCACTCGTTCACACAACTTAACTTCCTGTTCGTATGAACGGTTCTTGCATGTAGAGATAGTTCCTAACACACTACACTATTTCCATACACACTCATGACATGCCACACTATGAAGAAAGAATACCATCTGTGAAAAATTAATAGAGAAGAGCTCCATTAGAAAAACAAAACTTTTTTAATTTCCTCTGATCCAAACAGTTGGGCTGAAATTCTTTAGATAAAACAATTTGAAAAGCAGCTTTCATTATCAATGAAACGGATTCATAAACAACAAAACAACCTGGTCCCAAAAYATTAATATTCCAAATTTCTGACAATGTGACAGACAAAAATGAGGTGAACATATTTTTATTTTCACAACTAGAAAAAGGCATTCTGGTTAGCAGCATTACATCTTAGGCACACTTGTTCTGATACAAGTGAAACAGGTTCAACTTCAAACAAAAGACTGAAAATGTGAAAATAAAAAATGAATTGTCAAACATAATTGAGCTGACCACTGGTACATTGTGGTATAGAAACTGTTTATTTTTATTTAACCTTTATTTATACATGTAGTCTCATTGAGATCAAAGATCTTCTTTACTAGAGAGACCTGTTTTGACCTGTGTAGAAGATAAGGCCATAAAATGACAAAGCAATGATGTCATCAGATTTCAAAAAGTATGGCTGAATTCTGTTGAGAACATTTGGTGTTTTCAGTCTCATTGTCCCGGTGGGCAATCATCATCTGTGCTGTACATTTTTCACAAATTCATCAAACGCACTCTTTGGTTGTTGCTCCCTCCTGGTCTTCCTCTGRGAGCCTCAGTTGTTGCAGCTTCGCCTCACAACCACCGGCAGACATTTATCAGCCAATGGCATGGTCTCATAAAGCAAAGTGTTCAGAGTCTCCTCGTAAATACGAGCTTCAGGAAACTCCACCTGAGACAGGTGACATTTTCAGTGAACAAAAAGTCAGAAAGCTTCAAATCAGAAATTTGCATCCACCCATTGAGGCCATTAATTTCATTAAATGAAATGATTTGAATTGTTTCTTTGAACATGTTTTCTGTCCAGGGTGGAATGATTGTACAACATACACCTTCAGTGACTTTTAAAAACAAGAACTGGCTTAACAACTTATTKTGTATTTTCTTTAATTTGGGTCAAACACAGTCCAAACTGTACATTCACTAAATCTTTTGTTTATTTGATTCTGAATCTTCACTTCATCACAGTCTCCATCCTGAGCAAACGGTGGAGAGGAAAAACTCCCTGCTAATCAGGAAGAAAGCTCCAGCAGAACCAGGCTCAGGACAGGAGACCATCTGCCTCGACCGGCTGGTTGGGGGACAGGAAAGAGACACAGACAACATGCATTCTTACACTATACTTATATATTTGTTCATTTATCACAAGTCATATCATTGCAGCATTTAGCACTGTTAAAGCACATCACAGGTTTTCCTAATATCATACAGCCCTAATATCCATCTGTGCAAAATTACTAAAATTAGAAAAATAATGTTCCAAAATGATGCAGAAAACTTGATTCATGCATTTATCACTGTTCTTTATCTGGATGTACAAAAAACTCTAATGTGCTGCTCAGAATAGAAGATTGCGTTGAAGTGAATCTTCAGCAAAATCTGGCTTCCTGAGAAATGTGAAGAACTCTCCCATAGGTGAGAGTTGAGACATGGACAGTTCCCAGTTCACCTTCATTGTGCATTTGGGTTTACCAGGTCCGGAAGCCTCCCCCACCACAGGATCCAACTCACCACCAGACGGTGATCAGCTGACAGCTTTGTCCCTCGCTTCACCTGAGTGTCCAAGACATAGTGCTTACAAAATCAGTCATCAACCTTTGGTTTAAGGTGGCCTGGTACTATCTACACATATGGACCACCCTATGCTCATACATGACGTTCATTATAGAGCAAAGGAATCCCCAGACAGCACCCCTTCCAGGAAACCATCCAAAGACCCCAAAGAACCAGGTAATAAGCATGCAGCTAGGTCTTGTGAGTACCTCCACCCCCACCTGATGCCTCTCTCTGGGCAACTCCGGAGCTGGAGAGTCCAGCCCCTCTCCAGGAGTTGGGTTCCAGAGCCCAGACTGTATCTAGCTGGTAACACTCAAGCTCCGGCTCCTTACAGGAGAGGGAGGTTCTGTTCTCTGTCCCTACAGCTAGTCTCTTCCACCTGGAACAGCCAGGGACCCTGCCTTGCCTGCTGCCCAGCATGTGGACAGCTGGAGACCCTACCAGGGTCTGATGCCCCAGACTACAGCCCCACCTCCATCGACACACCTGTATATGGTTCTGCTTGATCCGGCCTCTGTTGAATGTGTCTCCATTAGGTTCCAACCACACAAAACTGTGCCGTGCCTCCTCTCTGGTGGTTCTAAGTAGGTAAAAGCGAGTACATCCCGCTTAAAATTTTGACGTCAGCAGAATGATGCCAGTGGATTATCTCTTGGATTGACTGACAGAAGAAAGGCTTTATTTGTGCAGACTTCCTCCTGGAGAGAGACACTTCTGTTTTGGAACACAAGCACATGGTGCGATACCACTGGTAAAACCATGGTCTAACCTTTGTGGCAAAAGGCAGAACTTGTAAACACTTCCTGGAGGGAGGTGAAGGAGATGAAGCTGAGCAGATAACAGGGAGGTGTCAAACAAACTGGCCACCTATGATCACACCCGGACTTATAAACAGCACTGTGACAATGAATAAATAAATGAAAAGTAACGGTAAAACCACAACAGCTTATTTTTTTATATTTAAAGCTTTTTTAAACACAACAGAAGAACCCGCTGTGGACGGTCTGTGTGATGAAGCGATTTCAGTATTAGTGTTCGTCTGCTTTAGTGGTGATCGCAGAATGTGCACTTGTTACATGCTCATAAGACCCTCAAAAAAACTGCATTGCCAGGTGATGATTCTGTGGTTTATTAACTGTTTCAGGGCGTGACTCAATCTTAAGGATGCACACTCAGGCTCAAACCACCCAAAACTGCCACCAAACATGACCCTCTGTAAACAAAAAACATCCGCGCCCTCTAGTGGCGAGGCTGAAAAATGACATTAGAGTCCTGCCTTCAGAACAGTCTGCCATAATCAGGCCCATAAATAACTATTTGAGTTAAAAACTCAATTAAAACCTCCCTATGTGTGTTTCCCTGTAACTGATTTCAATCAAATTATTTGACCATTTTATGTCATTATTTTATATAAGAGTAGCTTGTGATTTATAAATGCATATACAAAGTACATTCCAACTCAATAATTGAGTTTTTATTAGAACAAACATTTTATGAATAAGTAACTGGCTCCACCTCATAATTTATTCACCACATTTTATTTATGTATCAGTTTCTTTATTTCCTGTTCAGGTACATCAAACCATTCCTCTTCACTTGGTGGAGTTTTAAACACAAAAAGTTTGTTGTTGGTTTTGGATCAGCGCAGAAACACCTGAGAGGAGTAATTTTATAAAGAAGATAGAATGAAAACGTTTCCAGTCACTGATCTATGAAAGAAAAGGAAGAGAAAGCTTCAAAATTATTATATCAATCTCAGCTGTATAAGTGTTTGGTTATCTTTCTGTAACTCAGCCTAGTGAAGCAGTAAGTGTCACAATCCTTTGTGTAATTAGGGTTAGCTTTCAAACAGACTGTAAAGTTAATCAGCTTTTCTGTGGCAGATTGTAATCCTAAAGGCCAGAGTTAGTTTCCCTTATCAGCACACAGGCTGCAGTTGTCTCAGCAGTCATTAATGAGCTACACTATCAGAGATGAAATACTCTGTTCTTATCACTGCTTGAGAAAGAGTGTGGGATTGTCCCGTTCTTCAGGCTGGAACTGTGGATCTCCTGCATCTTTACACGTTCACAGATTATAATTTTCACGTACTTCTACATAAAAAAAAACCTTCAGCCCACCAAGGATTTCTCAAACATGCATGAATGAGTCAAAGCAACCCTGTAACGTCCCAACCAGGAGTTTGTTGCACATGAATCTACAGGTTAACCTTACTAAGGAAATCACATACTATTATCCTGAATACCATGTCAATTAAAAAATAGACTCATTAACATCTTTGTCTGTGGATAAGGTCTCCAAAAAGTGGACCATGGTCTGGATCTGAACCCAAACGAAGCTGTTAAACTTCAGTGGAGTTAGTTTTACCTGTACACTCTTTGTAGCATTGATAAGACTCAAGTTAACAAGCAGAACTTCAGCCTAAAGGCCCTGTCACACTACACAACTTATGAATCAGTTTTTATGTCTAAAGTGCTGATAAAAGTTATATATTTGATCAATTTAGTTTAAAGTTTATCATTTAAAAAACAACACAAATTCAACATAAAACAAAAGCATAAATCATAAATTAAATTAAATGAAAGGTAGCAGAACA